GGCGAGTTCCCGCCCCGCCACTCCCCTCCGCGGTGACGTCACCGAGGGATATCGCGGTCGCTAGGCAACGCGAATCAACAGCGGCGACGTTACGATAGTAACAGCGGTGACCTCCGCTAGCGTTACATAGCAACAGAGCGCCAGGCAAAAGGGTGCCTATTACGTGGCCGTTTTCCCGTATTGTCCGATCGAGGCTACATAGGGAGAAGCGAAGGCTATTCACAGCCAGTTCTAGTGTGGCTACCGCAGAGTTGTACTGAGTCAGTCAGCGAGTCCTGGACCTATCGTCGAGTTAGCCAGCAACCAGTCAGTTGTATTGTGGCATTTGGAGTGTACTAATTGTGATACTGCAGATAGCAGTAATCGTCAGATTGTAATTTGGGTGATTGTGAGGGCGGATGTGAAATAAAATTCGCTACATCGAATACGGCGTGAAGTTATTTGTCGCGATATAAGCCCGATACGCGACAATAGGATAGTCACTGTTCTGACTTGTCCAAGCTTCAAACTGGCCACTCTCATATACAAGCCAGAATAGTTACTGCGTGAGTTAACTTGCACAGTAGAGTAGTTGTTTGAATAGAGTTTATATCTCACTGCTTTTGTTTTTTTTATTCTTTTTATCTATAAAGAAGAAACTTGAGCATAAATAGTGCCAAAATGCTTCAGTGATTTGTTTTATAAAATGTCAGTTTTTATAGTATAATTATCACAAGAACTGGTTTGGGATATGTGCCCTATAAATGTAAAAGTATAGTTCATTTTTACATTGTACATAAAATTGTTCTCATGACTTTCTAGGAAAAGGATCTGTCTCTTAAAGACAGTGCAGGATACTGTTTGCGCAAAGTGGCTCCTGCTGTGAGCCTCCAATACCGAGATGCGGCTTCAGACATGGAGTTCCTAGTGAGTGACACTGTACTGTGTTTGGTTCGCGCTGGCATCAGAGATAAAAATGAGACTGTCCAGCAGGAGTCAATTAAACTGCTTGGAGAAATGGTAAGCAATAAAATATGGAGTTGTTGGAAAGACTGGTTGATCAGTTAAAAGGAAGTGTTAGTAATACAAACATGAATTAATTGAAAGATTAAAAATGTAAATTAAATTTTGTGCCTTTGTTTAGGCTCGTGAATGTAGTGAGCTGCATCCTGTACTGCAAGATTTGTCAAAGTTGACGAATAAAGCAGACCCAGAAGTTGATTTCTTTGAGAACATACTTCATTTGCAGAGCCATCGCAAATCCAGAGCTCTGCTCAAGTAAGCCATGCAAGTATGGTATCTAATTATATAACTTGCGTGAGTCATTGTACTTGCCTACAAATTTGCGTTTCATAGGTGATGTAATGAATATTACTTTAAACTGTACTTCTAATACTGTATTTTCCTATAAATAAGTTGTCTATCATCAGGGTAAATGATGGGGTATGTATAGCTCTGAAATGTCATTGCCCACCTACCAGACAGCGCAGTGTCATAGCTGATAAGACTTATAAATGTGTAACTGTTGTTTTAATTCTTAATTCACTAAAAATGGAAGTTTCAGTGTTATCATCAGTATGTAACAATTTTGATTAAAATAGTGCTCTTGAATGTTCTAAAAATCACTCATTTTCTTTAATGTAGTCATTTAAACTTAGTATGTTTTTCACTTAGTACACTTAGCACTTGTATAAGAGGATAATTTTTCAGGTTTTGTCAAGTTGCAAAGGACCTTACAAAAGCTCCAACTCCTCGGACTTTGACACATTTCATTCTTCCTCTGGCGTCTGGCTTTCTGTGCTCAGAGAAATATGCTCACAAGAATAATGTTGTGGATGCAGCTGTTGAGGTAAGTTGATGTAGTTTTTAATAATGGAAAACATTTGTATCTGATGAGCCATGCATCGATGTTGATAAAGTAGAAGAGGTTAATGATTTGTCAGACTCTTTTGGCATTGTTACTTCAGAAGGAGAAAATTTCATTCATTAATCTTTTGTATTTTTAGTTGAATTTTTAACCACTGTTTCTTATTTTGTAAGAAAGGTCAGACAATTTTATCATGTTCGCATGTCATATACTCTCCATATAACTTTTAAATCTATGTCATGAAACTTAATATGAACATTCTTTCGTACTGTATAATTTTATACTATTAATAATGTTATTGTGGCAGGCATGCAAACATTTCAGTTGGAAGCCTGTGAAATGTTGTATTTTCACAATATTGTATTTAATTTTGCAGACTATTGGCACTGTATGTCGATTGTTGCCCTGGCACCAATACGAAACCATTCTTCGTTTCTACCTGGCAAAGCTGCGTTACCAAGTTGACTTCCAAAAACAGTTGGTTCGTACTGTGGTAGCCATTCTTGATGCATTCCATTTTGACCTATCAAGAGCACAGATTTCTGGTATGCAGGACAAAAATGAAGACATAAAAACAGCAGATGTGAAATTAATGGAAGTAGAGAAGAGTCCTAAAGAAGTGGCAGTTACTGACATCACTGATCCTTCAGGAAGCAATTCGACTGTTCCTATAAATGGAAATGATGAACCAGGAGAAACTGATGTACTTGATTCTGTTGAAGCTGATACAAACAAGACACTAGAGGAAGCAGGCCCGGAAGAATTGGTGGACAGGTTGGAGAGTCTGTTGGACTTAGAGGATGATGCTCCCAAAGTAGAGGAAAAGGAATATGAAGCAACTTGTGAAATGGCTTCGGTTCCTGTTCCAGCTATTAACAAAGAGGCAGTGCTTAACAAGTCTGTTGCCACACATGTGATCCAGATCATAACAACAGGGCTTTTGCCACAGATTCATCGTGTAATGGCACAGCTCACTCAAGCAGAATTGTCTCACAAATTAAACAAGAAACAGACAGCCTCTGATAAAGAGGAGGAAGGAATTCTTCGTGTTCCCATTGCTATAGCTGCAGTTAAACTACTTCAGCGCCTTCCATCTCACATGTTGGACCAGAACTTACCAGGGTGAGTATATATAATCTGGGTGAGCCTGATAACACTATGTACTCTGCAACATTGTCTTGCTGCCTTCTGTATGATTCATGCCATTTCATTCAGTCTACAGTCCCTCATAACCATGCTGACTGCAGCATCCACAAGAGTGGAGCATTTAGTCAGCCAGTATCCCATATCAGACATTAAGAAACTCTGTCCATTGGTTTAGGGACTCTAGCAGACAGATAGATGGAGAGACATGACCTCCATGTAAGATATTATCACTTTATAAAGACAGCCCTCTCTCCCCCCTCCCCACTTAGTGGGGGGTGGAGTCCAACTGGGTCCCCTCGGCACAGTGGCCACTGATTGGCCTATTGTAGCCTGCCCCGGGTGATTATGATGATGGAGAATTTTGTGGAATGAAAATTGGCATTGGAGACCGAAGTACTCTGAGAAAACCCGCCCCAGCGCCGCTTTGTCCACCACAAATCCCACTTGACCAGACCCGGGATCGAACCCAGGCTGCGGCAGTTGGAAGCCAGCGACTGACCACTTGAGCTATGGTGCGACCCATAAAGACTGCTTAGTGTTGTGTGATGTTAGGAAAGTCAAAAGAAAAAGTTAGTTGTCTGTGATGATACGTTCATGATGAAAACGTTATGTAACCAATAAACAATAAGCTGATTTTTTCTCTAAAGTAGTACAGGTGCAGAAATGAAAGGAATTGACCTATATTTATAGTGGACATGAACAATTTTCTCTGTCATAGGAATTCATCATCAGTATATGGAAACACAATTATGCAGAAGCCTCTTTAAATATTAAATTAATATATTCAAAACTGTATGTAATTATTTAATACTTCTAACAGGATTCTAATGAAGTTGTGTACATTCCTGAAGTCTCGACTGGAGAGCGTCCGGCGAATAACTCGTGAGACACTCCAGAAAATAATGTTGACTCTTGGTCCAAAATATTTGGGTATATTACTGCATGAAATGTCAGCTATGCTTACTAGAGGCTACCAAGTACATGTACTCATCTACACCATTCATGCAGTCCTCGTTTCACTTAAGGATCTTTTCCAACCTAATGACATTGACTGCAATCTTCAGAATATCTTGGAGGTAAGTGAGCTGCAGCTGCTTCTTATTTTTCTAGCATCATTTCTGCTTTGTGTTGGTTGGTTGATGAAAAGTCCGTGATACTGCCTTTCTTCCCACAGTCTCCCCCCCCCCCCCCCTTCNGTTTGTGAAAAATCTTTGTGATATCCCTTCTTCCCCCACGCCCCCCCCCCCCCCAGTTGATTGCCATGTCTTTTCCTGTCTTTAGGATGTTTTGCAGAACCGTCTTATACAGGGTTATCTCATTTCTCTTTTCTTTAATTTTTAACTAATTCCTTTCTTTGTGTCCTCCTGTCCAGTCTTTTTACATGACCACACCATTGTCATCTAACTCATAACTCTTCTAACAAATTTTGAATTCCAAGTTCCTTTCAGAAAGTTTCTGTCTTTATTATATCCCTTCTTGTTCCTTCATAAGTACTTACAAAGAATTCTGTTTCCATTGCATGGATTTTACTTTTGTTTCTCTTTGTAAGGGTTTGTGTTCTGTTCTAAGAGAACTGGAATGCTATAATTACACTAGAGAAAATTCAACCACAAAATTTGACAGTTTTTCTCCCTCTGGCTTTAGCTTTCACAGATAGCCCTTAAAGGACACTTTTATATCACAATTTCACAAAATATGCATGTTATGGAACCCTTCTGGCTAAGATTGAGACTCTAATGCCAGCTAATGCATAGGTGCTCCTGCTGTTTCATGTCGTCATCTTCTGGTCTTGTGGGCAGTTCCATGAAAAGATACTTGGAATTTATTTTGAACTGTCATTCTTGGGCTGACTGGTACTTTGTTTTTATCATAATTAAAATGATGTTGATAGTTAATCTCTTTATGTTTTCATTCTAGAACACAGGCTTCCTTCTCTTACTGAATACCCACTGTGTAGGGATTTCTTTAATTTGCAGCTTTGTAAGAAGGATTTGTTTGGAGCTGTAGCTGAGGAAAAGGAAGTGAACCAAATCACTGGGAAACTTCAAGAGGCTCGAACAACTAAAAGCTACGATACATTTCAAATCCTTGCACAGTTTGTGACAGAGAAGTGCTTCTTGGATTTAATTTTGCCACTCAGAGAGGTTTGTATTAAATATCTTCATTACTGGTACATTTTAATATTTTAATGGACACTACCATTGAATATTTAATTGTATAATAAGAATATGCAATGATTGTGGAAATTATTATTGCTCTCTTACAGTTTAGTGCAAGACAGCTATTCTGCAAAATAATATCTGTGCTTGTAAAAGACTTGGAAATCTTTCATGATTTCACATTTTTTGAGAACAAAAATATATGAAACAATTTTGCTGTGTAGAACTTATATCATCGTGCTTTAGTGTTGCTGTTTAGTTCCATATTTTTAACTTACCGTTTAATATACGGTAAGTTCCTCATTATTTGTGAATGAAATACCCAGTTTGCAGCTTATGGTGCCTTTGCAACATTGTAGAACACCTCTGAAACTTGCTTTGTGCGTCTGTGTGTGTCTGCATGCATGAAGCAGCTGAAGAACCAGTGGCTGGATTTTCATGAAATTTGATATTGGAGAATTATATGAAAAAGTGTCGGACCATTTCAAATTTTGTTTGCATCAGATGATTTTAATAACTGCATTATGTGAAGACAAATTTTTTCCTGTGTTACAGTTTTTGGGATAATAAAACAAACACTGGGCACACATTTCTGAATTCACATAAAATTTCTTGATTATCGTTGCTTTTTGATTATTAATGTGTTTTTGTTTTTTTCTTCTTCATTAGCATGGGTAATGTGGCTATACTGTGTTTATATTTTTCACTGTTAAAAAATTGTCATGCACAAAGTTTATCATTTAATATTGCATCTTATGTTAGACATATATAAGTAGAAAACAGTAGGGTACTTTACAGCAAGCTTTTATTTTTCACCCAGTTTTTATATTTCAGTCAGTTGTGATGTGTATCCAGACTCCTGTCAACTGGGTTTGGGGATCTCTGTTTCTAGTGTGTAAAGCAGCCTGAGAATAAAGCTGATCACTTATCATAGCCAAACATTGAGGTTAAGAATGCATGTTGCTGTATCTCAATTTCCTCTGTATACCTTGATGTGGTGCTTTGGCACAAGGACAAATTATTGCTGTCATTTTCTCTTTATATTTATCATCGTAGTCCTATCGGCCTTACTGTATGTGTTTGATACAGTCTCCTGAGAAGCTTGTTTCACTTACCTTTGTCAGTTGTGCATCACATTGCATTGGTTCACATACTAAGCATCACATTTTTTTTATTCCAATACTAATGCCATTGCACCAAGATTAAAATATGACCTTGAACTCTGTGGTACCAGGAAATTTAAGTTCATCATCCCCAGATGATAAAAGTTAATCTGCTACTTTAGTTTTATTTGTATGGGAGTGGTGAAACCTCTGGGTGAAGGAGCATGGGTGATTAAGAATGTGACCCTTTAGCTGATGGTTTACTGCTGTTATTTAGGGAATGCTTGTTCACTGAGTCCAAAAAACTTAGTGTCACAGCCATGTGATGAGCTGCAGCTGGTCATGTTTGCTTGCTGTGTTGCATGTGGGTTTCATCTGAACAACCATCATAAATTTGTTTACATCGTAGTTGATTTCATAGTATGATGGCTGTAACAGCTAATTGGAAACTGCATACATTTAGCTGTATTTTTATTGCACACATTTTGCATGTAGTGCATTAAAAACATGACATTTCTTGTCATTTGGTTTCACCATTGCAATAGCCATCACATGTTTAATGTAATATATGTTTTTGCTTCTTTCTTTGTTTTTTTCCAGATTCTGGCCCATTCACATTCATTCAAAGTTATTCACAAATGTTCTGAGTGTCTCCGCCGGGTTGTGCTGGGCTTGGCCGATAACACCTTTGTGCCTGTTGAGTCTCTCCTTGTATTCATGTATGGAATAGCATCTGAGAGTATCCCTGAATTAGTATCAGAGCTAAAAAAAGAAGAAATTACACCTGCTCAGAAAGAGTTACTGGCCCGGCAGCGTCCAGACAGTTTCATTATTCCTCAGGCTCCAAGAAATCGTTCAGGTTTCACTGTTGCTGCCAGAACATCAACTCGAACTAATGCTCATATATTGGTTGAATTTGGTCTCCGTCTTTTTCATATTATTCTTAAAAGGGAGAAGCTACGAACAGGAGATTTCAGGCCATTTGTTGACCCAATGGTTCCTGTCCTTTGTGACTGTTTCAAGGCCCAGCATGTTAAGGTAAGAAAACGGTGAATTCATATTGAACTTTTCAGCAGTCAGTCAAAATGTTTAGGACAGTCTTAATCCTTTTAGCCTGTGAGGATTTTGTTTTCTCACAATCCTTTCTTTCAGCTATAGTAGTTTTACCTCTGTTGATTATGACATACTAGTTACCAATGGTTTGTATGACATGCAGGTGTAAGGTATTGTGTAATAATCTAGTGGTCTGTCACTTTGTATTGTCTGTGGTAGAGCTGTTATTTAATATTTCTCAATTTAAGATTTGCTTTTATGTAACTTTCAGTTTCAGTAATCCAAAGTCAATAATCTCAGCGTTAAATCACCTTCATGTAATATTTTTCTCAGTTTTGTGTTTGCATCCATTTTTTCAAAACACGAACTTAAATGGGGGGTTTCCAGTGTATAAGATGTATATTTATATGGTAAAAGGTATAGTCCCTGTACTTAACTAATTAAGCACTACGTCATGAAGGCGTATGGGGGAGTAGATGAATAGATACACATTTTCTTGACCTTGGCACTAGCTGGAGGTGAGTGGTCAGCTCATGCCCCTGCTGCTTAACGCTGGGAAAGAGCCTCTGGTACCCATTCAGTAGGTTGGGTGGGCTCCAGAGCCAGTCTGGATGACATGGAGAACTGAAAATCCCCACCCCCACCAGGGCTCTCTAACTCCGACCACTTGGTCATCCAGCTTGTAGCCAGTCACTGTACTGACTCTGGTATCCCAGCTCACACTTATATGGTTCCAATGTGTAAGGTGTATATTTAAATGGTTCCAGTGTATAAGTTGTATATATAGTGCATATAAAATGTTTTCACTCTTCATACAATGTTTTTTCTCTAATTGTGAGTGAGTGTGCATGTAATTTGTTTTATGTATGAGTAATTAGGACTTTGAGAAGAGAAAATTTGTTGTGATAATAACTTATTTAAAGTGGTAAATAGGTTTGAAATCCTCCAAGAATTAGTTTATTTCTTTGCTGTGGATGTTTTGTTTGTTTGTTTGAATGCTGCTTGATTTATTTTACTCTTTATGATTCAGTGGTGTTGTGCATCTTTGATGGTGCATTCCCAAAATCATTTATGTGTAGGTTCCATGGAGTCTGAATTGGTATGTTCTTCTGAAATACAAACATCTTTCATGAAGCTGCTGATATCCTTTAGATGATAAGTGAACCAGATCAGCATTTCAATGTTTTATGGATTCAGTGTATGCAAATATCAAGATACATGACTGGTTTGTAATGTGTGGGATAGAATTATGACTTTCTGCACATAACCTGTCCATGTTAACATTGGTTACATATAGTAATTTCCATTTAGATGGCACTCTTAGAATAATTATGATCTTCTGAGATGTGATGCCATGTAGTTTCATAGATAGGGGTCCACCTAATTACCAAACTGCATGGTGTCATATTCCAGAAGGCCATACTCGTGTTACTCAACAACTGTAAGAACCTCAGATCTCACCTTCATAATGGCCTCATTGTACTTTGCTACTCCATAGGACTGTTTCTTAGTTTGTACGTACAAATTTTCATAAAGAGTAGGTGGTGCAGATACCGATTTTTATAACTTCACTATGTGTACTCAGATAGTGTAGTTGGTATAGCAACTGGCTATGGGCCGGATGACCAAGAAGCCAAAGTTCAAGTCCTGATAGAGTCAAGAATTGTCTCTTCTCCATGTCATCCAGACTGGCTCTGGGGCTCACCCAGCCTCCTATCCAATGGGTACTGGGGTTCCTTTCTCCAGGGGTAAAGCGGCAGGAGCGTGAAGCTGACCACTCACCTCCAGCTACTGCAAAGGTGAAGAAAATGCAGATCTATACATCCACTTCCCCACACACCTTCTTGGCATAATGCGTAATTAGTTAAGCAGAGACAACTTTACCTTGCCAGTACATGTACTATGCATTGTGTTTTCTTTTCAGCTTACTACCATAGCACTTCAGTGCATGAGCTGGATTCTTAGAATGGATCTTCCTGCCCTAAGAGAGAACATACAGAATATTAGTGCATCAGTATTTAAGTTGCTGCATAAATATGCAGCTGCTGGTCTTAACAAAGGAGACAACTTTGATCTAGTTGTAGCAGCTTTCAAAGTGAGTTTTGCTTGGATTTTTCACTTAAACATGAACTTTATTCACAGGCAAGGTAAATTTTTTGTATCAGTTTACTTTTCTATCAGATGTATATTTAAGATTTGAGGCTTTCACGGCGGTGACTATGAAGAAAGCAGTCTTCTGGGATTTGGCACCGTGTATATGTGGTGTTAACCGACATTTTGGAGGAACGTATCGCCTCCATCTTCAGGGTAGAAGGAAAAATATAAGAAATCCGCAAGTGAAGAGACCGTGAGAACCAGTAAAAGCAGACTGCTTTTCCCGGTTCTCACGGTCTCTT